TGTTAATTATTATTAAAATCCTCTAGTGACTCAATTCCATGAATAAAAAAACAATAGGGAATCGATTATTTCATTTTCAAAAATTAATTTTGATTCTCTGCTTGTCTATGATACGATTATTTTCTGAATTTAATTTATCATTAATTATTTAATTTATTGAATATATTATTTAAATATTTATTCTTTTCCCTCCACGCTTTAATATTCCTTTTAATGATGAAAAACTAAGGAATTCAACTATCTTTTCTTTTTCTTGGTAAAAATAATCTTATCTTAGTTAACAAAACGAAAATGAAACTCGGAATATCTCGGTAGCTTCTTCCTGTAGTAAAGATAAAAAAGTGAGGGTTTCCGAATATACACGATAAACGCAAAACACGATACACGATAGAACCTGATAAACGATCTACACGATAAACGCAAAACACGATAAACGCAAAACACGATAGAAAACGCAAAATAGGATACACGGAAAACACGATACGATAGGATACGATAGGATACACGCACGATACGATAGGATACACGCACGATACGATAGGATACACGCACGATAGGACACGATAGATTTGTAAAGAATAACGATGCGGGTACTGTAACTATAGACATAGTTTATTGGTTAGATACTCAGGTGCAGAAAAGAAGAGTTTTAAAGAATTTATTCATTTTCACTATATACTCAATAAAGCCCCGACCTAAGGCAAGAACCCCCAACCCAGGGGCCACAAAATTCACAATTTTGGAAGAGGTAGCCTTATTCAACATAACTATGTACTTGGTTAATTTATTTGATACTCAGGAGCAAAGAAGAAGATTTTTAAAGAAATAATTCATTTTTTACTATATAATCTATATAGCCCCGCCCTAGCACTAGAACCCCTGACAATGGGGCCATGAAATTCACAATTTTGGAAGAGGCAGTTTTATTCAACATAGCAATGCACTTGGTTAGTTTATTTAATACCCATGAACAGAGGAGAAGAATTTCAAAGAATTTATGCATTTTTACCATAAAATCTTTATAGCCCCGCCCTAGCACTAGAACCCTGACCCTGGGGCCATTAAATTTACAATTTTGGAAAAGGCGATCATTTTCAAATTACCTATGCACTTGGTTAGTTTATTTAATGCCCACAAAGAGAAAAGAAGAATTTCAGTGAAATTAGGCACTTTCACTATATAACATATTTAGCACCGCTCTAGCACTAGAACCCCTGACCCTGGTGCCATGAATTTCACAATTTTGGTAGAGGACTCAATGCTGATTACAATTATAACAACAGTGTAACTGTTTGATGTCCAGGAGTAAAGAAGAAGATTTTTGAAGATTGCAATAATTTTAGTGGTTTTTGCCCCACCCCAAAGCCCTAGGGGGGCAGGGACCATGAAATTCACAATTTTTGTTTCCCTTTACCCATAGATGCTATATGCCAAATTTGGTTGAAATTTCTCCAGTGGTTTCAGAGGAGAAGCTAAAAATGTTCAAATGTTAACGCACGACGCACGACGAACGACGCACGACGACAGACGAAAACAGATAGCAATAGGTCACCTGAGTTTACTCAGGTGACCTAAAAATTGATAATGAAGTTGGAGATCCTCAACAAAATGTTTCTGAAACGTACACGAGTGCTGTAGTGATAAACATTAAGCTTGAACACTAGATAAACAAAAGTCACTAAATGGGAGTGAATTCTTTAAAGGAATATTATTTGTATTAATGCCGTAGCTCAAGTAATATCTGCCGTAAAGGATTGTTTTCATCAATTATAGGTGACTGTCCTCATGAAACAGAAGACGAAAGGAAACGGCATTATACTGTTGCTGGTATAATTAAAAAATATCAACAGAATCAAAATAATGACAAAGTGAATTGATCTACATTTCGCTTCAAAAACCCGTGATAATTTTTAATATTATGTATAAATGTCAACATGTAATATGTCGTTGGTTGAGAAATAAAAGTATATCGTTTCATTGACACTTTTTTCACTGTATTTTTATCACGTATTTTTTTATATCTGCTTGAATGTATACTTATTATTAACTACAGTTTAATTTTAGATAATATTATATATATATATATATATATATATATATATATATATATATATATATATATAGAAAGCACAGAGAAATTGACTTTTTTATAAGGATACTCACTTCCGCCCCAGCCCGGGTTTGAACTTTCGACCTACGGAATCTGTCTCTTTGCAGTGCAGGAGCAGCGCGTTAGACCGCTCGACTATCTAGGCAAGTTAAAAAACTTGCTTTCGATGAATATTTGGACATTAGATTTTGGAGGATTGTTACCAATACATGTTGTGATGAAATTAATTTTATTTATAAAGCACAATTTACAACAACTCTTAAACTAATATAACTGCCCTAAGTGAAGATACCCTAACAGAAAAATACTATAGTAAACTATAGTTTACTATAGTTAACTATAGTTTACTATAGTTAACTATAGTAAATCAAAGTGTCAAGGTTTTCGTCAAAGTTTTTCAAAGTGTCAAAGTTTTCGCCAAAGTTTTTCAAAGTGTCAAAGTTTTCGCCAAAGTTTTTCAAAGTGTCAAAGTTTTCAATAAAGTTTTTCAAAGTGTCAAAGTTTTCGTCAAAGTTTTTTTTTTTTTAGTTTTTTCACTTATGAAAACAGTCATTGAGAGTGATCTCCCGTATGGAATTCTCAAGGCGCTGAAAACAAAAAAAGCATATATTACAGTCTGAGAGGTAAACAAAAGAACGTGTGTTTTTTTTATCGTATTGATTTTCAACTCTACAGTAATAAAAGAATAAATAAATAATAAATAAATAAAAGGTGTGTTTACATGTACATTGATTTGACAAAATTTATAAATGAAGGCCGGCTTGATGGGTAAAATGGACCTGAATTAAACATTTTTATTCCATTAAACCTGTTCAAAAGTTTTTGAAAAACTCTATAGGAAATCCAGAAACGTTGCCAATGTCCTTAAGTATTCCTTTAGATTACATACATGTATAACAGTAGCCACAGTTCGTTAAAAAATTGTCTCGCTGATAAAGAGTTATCAGCGAGTTAAAAGATAAAGAGTTATATTCATGTAAGTATAGAAAATTTAGTGATCTTTAATATTTCTTTTTGTCTTTGAATAGACATTTTTGCTAGAAGAAACAAGCTAATATTTTATTCCTGTAAACAACCATAGAAACTAATTATGATAGAATCTATTTTAGACTTTTTTAGCTTGACTTTTTCACTGTGGAGAGCTGTCGACTTTTCTTTTCTTAGATATCCTCCTACTATTTTGTAAACTTCCCCAATTGGTAAATAGTTAATAAATTTATAAGGAAATGATTTAATTTGATTTTTCTCTCTTATGATTTAAAAGGATTACAAAAAAGACTTGAAATTCAGCAGGCTAACATGACTTCAGAGTATAATTCATGCTTAGTCCTTACAACTTACAGTCAAAAGTCCGTCTTAAATAAAGCTCCGGTAATTATCACATTGCTTGAAAGCACGTGAAAGAAATATCCTTACATATCAAATAATTTTTACCAGCATAAGATATAAAAACTATGTTGATGCTTTGTTTTATTTCTATCACTAAATCATCTGTTATCGAAGTATTATTTGTTTTTGTTGTTGTTGTATTTCTTGATAATAAAAAAGACAGGAAAAATATTTTAGAACTATAGATTTCATTCTTTGCCATAGCAACTCGGGCATCATTTTACTCTGCATAACTGAAAATATTAAGGTTTAACTTTTCAGAAAATTGTGAGGATGTTTTATGTTAATATGACTACATAATGTAAAAATTTCTATTTGATATATTTTAATCAATTTTGCTGGAGAAAAAAAAATCTCTGGTAGTTATTGACTCAGCTTTAACTTCGAGAGACTCGTGTGTTTATGAGATTAATAGTGAGAAAAGGCTTGTAACATACAGTAGTTCTGCACACAAGGTTTTCCTGATGTAGAAGTATCAATTCGGGAAACCATAGAATCAAAGTAATTTACACAAGCAAAAAGATATCAGTATCAAAAAAAAAAGTGGAGAGGGGTCATTGAACCCAACAGACTAAATACATTTTAACTATTTCGCGGAAAATAATCGTGTAAGCGTTAGGCCCGGTAAAGGCAAACCCAGTTATCTTTCCTACATTGATTGTAAATAAACGCTTTGTGGATTTAAATGCACATGTTGTTTACCGAAATTCAATAGCTTAACCTTGAATGTTCTCATGACACACTTTTTGAGGACACGGACAAAAGCTAATTTTATATTTCATATTACATAACTGAATTACTCAATTTCAAACCGGTTTCTCTTAAAATATGGTTACTTGCATCTCCACATATATCTTAGATTTTCAATTTCCTTTTCGAACATGTAATTGTTGACATATTAAGTTTGTCCTTTGTGCAAAAGTTGAGGCGGAGATGGAATAGGGGTGGGGCAGAAATCTAGTGCCACATTAGGTTCTCTTTATTCTCTTTCACCATGCTAAAATGTTAACCTGGTCACAAACAATAGAATTTATAATTACACTATAACTACACCGTTTTATTTGTTCCAGTGAACTTTCTTATACATGTAATTTATTGAAGAGATGTACTTGTACTATGGGAGTTAAAAAGAAAAACTGAGAACAGAACACACGATTTAGAATAATAAAAGGGGAAAGAACTTGAGTTGATATTTCGGAAAGAAATTAAAGTTCTTATACATGTACGTTTACGTACAAGAGATGGCTTATTACAGTAAATTAAAATCTTTAACCTTATAAATAAATGTTTATGTCATTGACTCTGTCGATAGAAATAAAATATCGTAAACTTTGTAATCTGAATGTTTCTATATATCTAAAAATATAAACGCGAAATGAAAAATGTAATTAATAAATTGAGAACAAACCAGCACTCCAAAACTTTCTCACATTTAATGACGTAACAACAGCATATTGTAGTTAGTTTTTTAGTTGCAATTATATACTCACAAAACCAAATTTACACATATTGACTCATTGTTTATTATTCTAATTCATTCATCAATAACACTCTCTTTGGTTATTGCTCATGTTAGCGTTCCTCACAAAATAACATTTTCACAAAATTTAAATTTCATAGTAAGCTTTTGACTTGAATTAATTTTTGTCTCCTCTGTCATAAATATGTGATCATGAATGTGTAAGCACATTGTTCGATATCTGGTATTTCTAGGAAGATTTTTTTATTTAAGTAAAATTCTGAGACATTTTGGTGAAAACGTTCCATTACTTTCCTTTATCTCACTGCATTTTAAATTTAACACATTCTTTCTCAATTTTTATTCACAGATCACACATCTACTATTGCATGTTAAATTGAAATGTGTTAATTTTCTAAGATAATATGACCCCATTTTCTTCACGTATTATAATTTCATGATAGGCTGGTACATGTTCAGTTGATATCTCTTGTTCACTGATGCTTCTTCCTTTTTCTTTCACGCAATTCAATCAAAATAAAGAAAAGAACAAAAACCAAACGAACACCTCCGAACACATATGCAAGAACGCTCACAAAAAATCGATTTTGGTTAATTTCGACACTTTTCTCAAAAATTGACGTGGTATCTGAAATAATAAAAAAAGAATCGCTCAGCATATTCTCAATCAGAGTTACCCAATTCTTCCCAAATTCGATTGATAGGCAAAATTGTTCATAAATGATAAATGAGTTTTATAAAAGTATAAATAAAGTCAGAATATATATAAACTTTTAAAACTTTTTTGAGACACGCGGGTATATGTTGAATTAAGAAATAAAGTCCGAGGCTAACGCCTCGGGTTTTATCTTTCAAACAACATCGCAGCACAGTTGAGGTTACAGTAAGGAGGCGGGGACTAATTTGTACGGGAAATGTTTACTATGACGTAACACATAATATAAGGTCTTCAAAATACCACAAAATGAAATTATTTGCTATTTCAAACAACTGGATAGCTGTATACTGCATACAAACTTACTATTACATGCAGTTTTGTCGTTTGTTAAATCTCACACAACAGTATATAAATGATTCATCGATCGCAATGCACTTGTCAATGTGACGTCATCTCGCAAAAATGACGCAGTTTGTACACAGTGAGAGGCTGATCAAGTCACATTTTGTACAATGAAAAATGTGTTTTGTTCTCAAATAAAATATTATTTGCAGTTAAATAAAAAGCCATTCATTTGAATGCGATGTCTATTTTAGTATTTTATTTGTAAACTGTACGTGCATTTTCCAGACAAGCGATACTGTCGTCTGTTTGTATGCAGATTCATTGAAAAAGTAATGGAAGGGCCCTAATAAATCGATTTATTGCAAGGGCATACCCTCAATGTATCTTGTTAAAATTTTACACATAAACTCAAGAAGCATTCAGATATTTGAAAAGTGCTGCGAACCTCTTGAAATCTTGCAAATAAATTTATTATAGCTATATCTAATGTAGTTGACCAGCAAAATATTTAACCTGCCGTCCGACAAATTAAATTTTACCAATTAAGAAAGGGAATCTATATAGGTTCACAGCACTTTTCACAAACTACATACATTGTTGAAAAGGATTATACAATAAACTTAGATTTTTAACTTGGTTATGCCCTTGCAATATTGAAGTTTATAGATGACCTCTAAACTGCAAGTATAATTGCCAAAGTCATGTGACGTCGACATTACATGACAAGTCTAAATAAAAAATCTAAATGTCCCCAACATGTAAATTTAAACCTCATTACGTACTTTTGATATCAGTGAACTCCTAAAAGGAATCGCCCATCCTAATAAAGTATGTATTTTTTTTCTTAAAAAATCGCCGATATTTCCATTTGTAACCTTAACTGTGCTGCGATTTCTTGACCTTTGAAGTTATCCTGCATCATTCATAATTTAACAACAAGGACTTTATTTCTATTCTGCTAAGATCGCTTAGATACGGCGGATCGTTTCCTCTATAGAGAAACAGAATAGGTCACCATGTCTCTCTCGAGTACGCTGTTCCATTTAATACCAGAAGAAAAATTAGTTTGCTTACCTGTGCATGGAATGCAGGCGATTCGAGCTTTCTTTTCATTGAAAATGGTCGTTTTGTTTGTAATACATGTATATATTTATTAATTTTAATGAATATGCAATAACAAAGTCATTCCCTGTTTTACTGCTTTTTTGGGACTAGAATCATGTTGTTTAAATGTGTAGTGAGGTCCGTGGAATAGCCCCTCTTAGTCATTAAAACCAATATTTATCATAATTTTTGCAATTTACAGTGTTTATACTGCAAAAGACGACATATCAATGTGGTCTAAACAAGTATTTTATTTTACGTGTCTCTGAACTGATACTTTTTGATGACGTTCGTGATTTATTGGAGAATAACCTCCGCGGCATTTCATTGATCTCGGTAATAATCATGTAAGAATTGCAAATAAGTTTCCTTCATTTTAATTTTATTAGAAAATATCAATCACAAACGATTAGCTACATGGGTATTTCTGCTAAATTATTATGTCTTTATTCATTTTGTCTGTTGCATGTAGATTTCTCATTGGGCTAACTTCCAAAATTGCTGATTTTTATCAGCATTTTAGAACAGAAGAAGAGACCAACATAAAATAACATCCACAATTTGAATATTACTCCTTGATTTCCCCGAACTATGGCTGAAAATATTGCCGACTAGGCGTAAAGCACCAATTAATTAATCTTACCCTTAGTTTTAATTTTTGGCATAGAGCATCCAGTAGCATAGTTGCAGTTTTCTACAGAACAGTTGCATTTCTTTGTGCAAAGAAAACCATATTGTGGAAATGGACACACGTCCGCGCAGTCAATACCATAGTATCCTGGATTGCAAACTGCAACACAATTTTAAAGGTGTCTTTAATCTTTTCATTACTAGTAGCTTGAAATAATAATAAAAGAGAACGGTGCATGTTTATATAAACATACAGTATTCATGTACATTGCAAAAAGGGCACGGAAAACATGATTATTTTTTCCATCTATAAACCGTTACAAAAAAAATTAAAGGGGATTTTTCGAGTATTTCAACATAGTTTTTAAAGTCAATGGCCGAAATAGCAAAATGGTGGGTAATATATCATATATCTCTCTTTTATTACCAACACATTCATGGGTGTCCTTTTTATACCAATAATTACTGCAACATGTTACACCACTGCGTCTGTATGAAAGAATCCCAAACAGATACTTAGTAGAAAGTGATAAATTCTAAAGTATATAATTATATACGGATAAAGATCATTGTTTCAATGCATACTTTAATGGAAGAATCTATTTTTTAATCTTTATTATGATGATAGAAGAAACTTAAAAAAAAGAGAATTTGTTATCATAGAACCTACCCATCACAAAGTGTACTTTCTGTTAAAATAAAATGAAAAAAAATGTGAAATTTACAAATAAAAAATGTTTTAATACATTATAGATAAAGATAAGATAGATTTTCATTTTCTGTTTCATTTACTTATTTTAGAGCATGGCAATAACATATTCCAATATAATGTTTCTTTTTAAATATGATGGAAAGATAGTGTCAACAGATAGTGTTGGAACAATTTTGAGAAAAATCAATTATCATACCTTAAGATGATTAAATGAAGAAAATACTAAAAAATAAATTTGAAAAGAAATAAGACGTTAATAAGTATAAGATATCTTTTTAGCTCACCTGAGCCAAAGGCTCAAGTGAGCTTTTCTGATCACAATTTGTCCGTTGTCTGTCGTCGTCGTCGTTGTCGTTGTCGTTGTTGTAAACTTTTCACATTTTCATCTTCTTCTCAAGAACCACTGGGCCAATTTCAACCAAACTTGGCACAAAGTATCCTTGGGTGAAGGGGATTCAAGTTTGTTCAAATGAAGGGCCACGCCCTTTTCCAAGGGGAGATAATCATGAATTTGTTAAAAATTAATGGCAATTTTAAAAAATCTTCTTCTCCAGAACCACTGGGCCAGGAAAGATGAAACTCATGTGAAAGCATCCTCAGGTAGTGTAGATTCAAGTTTGTTCAAATCATGACCCCCGGGGCAAGGGTGGGGCCAAAATGGCCGACCCAAGTTTTACATAGGAATATATAGGAAAAATCTTTAAAAATCTTCTTCTCCAGAACCACTGGGCCAGGAAAGATGAAACTCATGTGGAATCATCCTCGGGTAGTGTAGATTCAAGTTTGTTCAAATCATGACCCCCGGGGCAAGGGTGGGGCCAAAATGGCTGACCCTAGTTTTACATAGGAATATATAGGAAAAATCTTTAAAAATTCTTCTTTTCCAGAACTACTGGGCCAGGAAAGATGAAACTCATGTGGAATCATCCTCAGGTAGTGTAAATTCAAGTTTGTTCAATTCATGACGCCTGGGTCAAGGATGTGGCCAAAATGGCCGACCCAAATTTTACATAGGATTATATAGGAAAAATCTTTAAAAATCTTCTTCTCCAGAACCACTGGGCCAGGAAAGATGAAGCTCATGTGGAATCATCCTCAGGTAGTGTAGATTCAAATTTGTTCAAACCATGACCCCCGGGGCAAGGGTGGGGCCCAAATGGCCGACCCAAGTTTTACATAGGATTATTTAGGAAAAATCTTTAAAAATCTTCTTCTGCAGACCCACTGGGCCAGGAAAGATGAAACTCATGTGAAAGCATCCTCAGGTAGTGTAGATTCAAATTTGTTCAAATCATGACCCCCGGGGCAAGGGTGGGGCCAAAATGGCCGACCCTGGCTTTACATAGGAATATATAGGATAAATCTTTAAAAATCTTCTTCTGCAGAACCACTGGGCCAGAAAAGATGAAACTCATGTGGAATCATCCTCAGGTAGTGTAGATTCAAATTTGTTCAAATCATGACCCCCGGGGCAAGGTTGGGGCCAAAATGTTTTACATAGTGATATATAGGGAAACCTTTTAAAATCTTCTTTTCAAGTACTTCAAAGCTATGATTAGTGATATTTATATGGAATCATCCTCAGGTAGTGTAGACTCTAGTTTGTTCAAATGATGAACGCCTGTAGGGGGGGGAGTAAATTCAAGCTCAGGTGAGCGCTGTGGCCCCTGGGCCTCTTGTTTTCTTACTAGAGTCTTCGGGAAAGCATCCTCCCGCAATATGACAAAAAACTGCAGAACAGTTACATTCTTGTCTGCAGAACTCTCCAAAATAGGGATAAAGACAGACGTATGAACAGTTTTCTCCATAGTACCCATCTGGACATCCTGAATAAAAAAAAACATCTCAATTACAAGGAATCCTTCTAGAAAAGAATGCTCCTTAATTCTTATAAGATTATCTAACTGGCTTACTCAAGCATTTGTCGACTTCATGTGCGTACCAATAACCCATGCAACATTTTTTCTGGCCATCTTCACTGAAAAAAATCAGAAATCGTAACATATTATGTTTATGATATTTGAAGGACACAAACTTGTACTTAAATGAGATATTACCTGACACAATTCTGACTCAAACTTGACCGAACCACTAAACTCAGCATTAACAGTAAAAGACAGACGCATTTCCAATTTGAAAACACAAAAGACATGACGTTGAGCGTTTCTTGTGTTGCTTTTTTAAAACACCTGAACAAGGGCCAATAACTTTTTTCCTGGTGTTGTTGAAATATTAACGTTTAAGAATTTTATTCCACATCAATAAACTAATTAATACTAATGAATACAACGTTACAGAACGATTCAAATCATATTCATTAAAAATACCCAAATACAATACCAGGACATATGATTTTTTTCGACAATGTAAAGTCATATTGAAAACTATTTTTTCCCTAAAATATAACTTCCTTAACTAAAATATTTCTCGGTGTATTTTACTTGGAATACTATAAATAGTAATTGACAAACCAATTTATTTAACTAATATATCAAGAGTTGCGTTCGATGTCAAAAGCTGACGGATTCGTTTCTCAATACATTTTAAATGACTTTGTAATCAATAAAATTCCAATGTTAAGTCAAATTCATTCTAATTTTTACATGAAGGTCATGATTAACACGCTGTGATCTCTATGTATTTTCACGAGTGCTTGATCATGACAAGAAGCACAAGGTGCTTTATATTGATTGACGATGAATTCTCTAATGGCTCCTAATCCCGTCTATGATGGTTATGATGATTTTCCAAAAGTTCTTGGAATTTTTATGAATCTTTTTCTGACTTTGACTTCTTATCTTGATATACTCTTGTATTATACTACTGATATTTTCCTTCATTGCTGTAAATTCTTCATGAAAAGTAAAGAAAAATGCTTGGTAAAACATTAACTGTAACCCGCTATGCGTCTATATTTCTTTGAAGGATTTTATTGGCCCTTAATGAATTACATAAAATATCGTTCATAATCCAATAGAGATAAGTAAAGGAAAAAAATATAAAAATTACACAAAGATTGTTAAGGCCGTGAGAGCAGGAAATTACAACAATGCATCGAAATATTTTTATTATCAGAACAGATAAAATAAAGGAATAGTTTTAACATTAATGTCATGAATAATTAAAAAAAATCATGATCCTACATTTAAAAAACTATGTTCATTGTTGTTCATGTTCTATACATTTATTCAATATCCTGAAACACTGGATCATTGTCAGATCCTATTCCTTCTTTATAACGACGTCCTTGAGTACAATGATACAATTCAAGCATTATGCAAATCATAACAAAAACATTAATTCCTAAAAAGACGTATACACCATTGCAAAGATGAAAAGGTTCAATGATTTTGTAATCGGCAACTTTGTACATGTATCTGAAAGACAAAAAATGTTCATTCTTAACTTCAAAGGAATTTTTTTTCTTTCCTTTTGGTGTATTTTCAGCTATGATTTTTGTGTATGCTATCAGAAAAATATTTTTTAATATTCATTCATTAACTTCATTTAACGTTCTATCTATATTTTTTAATCAGAGTTAAAGTATTGGCATTTCTATAAACACGTATATAATCTAAATATAAATACATTATGTGTATATATTTTTTATTTTTGTTATAAAAATTAGTTTGGACTTTTTGCATAAGCAGCACTGTTAGTGTTACGATAAGGGGGTTGAGCATAATTTGTACGGGAAAACTTAACTATGACATCATGCAAAATATACTGCATACCTTTCTTAAAATACCACAAATTGAGGAGATTTGCTTTTTCAAACTCTAAGAAACCATCAAACTACATAAAAACTTACTACTGCATGCTGTTTTGTCCTTAGTGGAATCCAAAATAAAATATAAACAATAATAACATATAAACAAATCACTGATCGCAATCAACTTGCCGATGCGACGTCATTTCGTATGTTTGTATGCAGTGAGATGCAGATCAAGTAATATTTTCTTAATGAACATTTTTTCTTTACTTAAATAAAATATTATTCACAGATATTCTAAAGGCCGTTAACTTGGAATCAATGTTTTCTTCACGATTCAATTGATACATTTTCTGTATATATGGTATTTAATTGATACTGTTGCATTTTTGTATGCAAGTACAGCGGGCCGGGGGCAATATGGGGGTCTTCGATCTAGTGCAAGGGCATACACTCAATTTATTTGGTAAGCTTTTACAAATCAACTCTAGAAGTATTAAGATATCTGAAAAGTGTTGCGATCCTGATGAAATCTTGAAAATAATTTAATTATATCAATAATTCATGCCGATGACCAGTAAAAATACAGCATTCGGGCATACAAATATGATTTTTAATAATGAAATTGCAGAATTCTAGTTAGGATCGTAGCACTTTTCAGAAACTAAAATGCGTTTTGAAAATATTTATAAATAAACTTAGAATTTTAACCTGGTTATGCCCTTGCATTAGTGAAATTTATAAATGACCTCAGTACTGCAAGTAAATGTGCTAAAATCACGTGATTGTCGCATCACGTGACCAGTCTAAAAATAAAAATCTAATCGTCCTCAATATGTAGTTATTAACCATCAATACAATTATTCGATATAAATAATGTACTTAAATAATCGCCATTCCGATTATGAATACACGTTTAATTACAAAATATTGTCGATTTATCCATTGCGCACCTTAACTGTACTTATCTGTTAACTGCGTATGTTCTCAGTTTGTGGTCTTAAGGTATCTGCAATAAAGACGATATAACGACATCAAGGATACATATACCGTATAAATGAGTTAATTCTTACCGTTAGAATCACTATTCTGTATAACGTATCCAGTAGCATTCCTGCAGTCTTCTTCAGAACAGTTTGAACAGATGCAACTCCGTTTCCAACACACCACATATCCTGGAAATAG